TTATAACCCCCAGCTAAACCAAATCTTGCTGCCCCTCTTCACGTTTGCTTGGCAAACAGTTCCTTATGGAAAAAAACATCCCCAGTATCCTCAGGTCCACTACTTTCCTCATCCTGTAGGCACTGACCAAGAGCAACAACTTTAGAAGCTCACACTAAATATAGTTTAGGGCACACCGTGGTGAACAGGTGGACAGCAAAAAGCCTGTTTCCATATTGATGTACCATATGTATACAAACACAGGTACTAGATTGGTGTCTGCTTCTGAGTCATTTTCCCAGCCAAGTATAGAAATTCTGTAGCAAAACCCATGTGCTTCATGATCATGAGTAGTTAAGCCTTTTCTATCACAGATTCTCCTCTGTTAAGTGAAAGGGACCCACAAACCTTCAACTTGTCATTTTGTCAGTATACCAAAATAACCTTTCTTTTTACCTTTACTGTATTACACTGAAGTCAATCATCTTCCTTGCCTCTGGCTCTGAACTTTGGAGTGGAGAATGAGCATTTGGGGACTATGGGGTATGTGTGAAACTTAACACTACAAGTTCTAGTCCTTGTTCTGTTCACTTCGTGTCTGCCTGAATTAGCTGAGAAACAGAATTTAGTACACATATTGTCTCTGGAGTAGTGTGAGAATCTGGTACCTTGCAAAAGAGGGCTGTTTTCAAAAATTAGCTGGATAGAAGTCTTTGTCTTCCTTTTTGAATACACCATACCAACAAAGGTCTTAAAGCGGTTTTGGTTTTTTTTTTTTGGAGACAGGGTCTAGCTTTGTCACCCACGCCAGAGTGCAGTGGCGTGATCTTGGCTCACTGTAAAACTGCCTCTAGGCTCAAGCTAGTCTTCCACCTCAGCCTCCTGGTAGCTGGCATACAGGCGTGCACCACCATGCCCGGCTAATTTTTGTATTTTTAGTAGAGACAGGGTTTCACCATGTTATCTAGGCTGGTCTTGAATTCCTGAGTTCAAGCAATCTGTCCGCCTCGGCCTCCAAAGTACTGGGATTACAGGTGTGAGTCACTGCGCCCAGTCTTAAAGCTGCTTCTTTTCTAGCCTAACTTAAACTGCAGAATGGAGATAGGTTGCACAGTATTTTTTACTTAATTCTAGATGCTCTTCAACTAAGGAAACAAAAAATCTAGTTCACTTGGGGAGAGGTGGAGAATAGACCAAGGAGTTGGCATTCTGCCTTTTGTGTCAAACACAAGTGTAACTGGGCTAATACAATTGACTTGAACTTTCCAATTCTCAGTTAGGGGCTAAAGCAGTAATTGAAGCAATGGGCTAGTGTCCCAAAGCCAGGCCTCAAAGTTGCCCAGCCTGACCCTAACTATGCAAATAGCAAAAAGGGCAGGCTTGGTCAAAGTCAGCTAGGATTTAAAAATCCATTTGGGGTAAACAGTGGCTTTGGTACTATCACAAACCACCATACAAACCAACAAGGTCACAAGGCAGACCCAGTTGTGCCCCTGGTATATTTTAAAACAGGTTATTTAATACAACCAAAAACTATAGAAGCTGAATTGTCAGCACCTATTCTAAACTTGATATTCAGCCTTCCCTCACTTTTGCCACCTCATTAGCCTAAGGGAAAAAAAAAAAAAAAGCCTTTAAAAGGCACTGCTCTGCTTGCCCCCACAAAGCAGGGCCAACTGTGCTTTTCATCCCAGCAGGATGGTTTTGTTTCACATTTCATTTGCTTTCAACATTCAGCAGTTTATTCAACAGTAAACATACAAGGCCAAGGTCAATTAAGTCATCCATAAAAGAGACAAGTAACTTTAAACTTCACATACTAGATAGGAAAGCAGTAACTTTTGGGGAAAAAACCTCAGTGCTGGACATCGTCAAAACAAGGTGATATGCAGATCCACAGACTGACAAGTTGTCTTGGGATCTTAGGCTCTCCTCTAACAAACTCCTGTAATCCCACACCAAAACACTAGGATGCCTCTCCCTGATCAGTTTCCTACTGCTGAAAGCCAAGACTCCTTTATTAAGTTGAATGCTAATACTGAGCCTGGACTTAGTTCAGTTCTATCAGCTTTAAATTATAAATGAGGACATATCTTCATCAGAAGACCCAACTTGCACATTAATCTGAGCCATCATTTTCCCTTTTACTATGAGAAATAATTGCTTTATAATGCAGATTCCCAATGCCACAGTCCATAAAGATGTGCCAAGCACACAGACAAACCCCAAATGGCGAAAGTTTAAGATCAAATTGAGCCAAGTCTATGACCACCACAGAATTGAGAGTTCTGGAATATAAGGTCATATCTGAAAATAGGTATTTAAAAATTTAATTAGGCGAGGTGCGGTGGCTTACACCTGTAATTCTAACACTTTGAGAGACAGAGACAGGACTGCTTGAGCCCAGGAGTTCGAGACCAGCTTGGGCAACATTGTGAGACCCCCATCTCTACTAAAAGTTAAAAAAAAAAAAAAAAAAAGAATTAGCTGGGCATTACAGCACACACCTGTAGTCCTAGCTACTCAGGAGGCTGAGGTGGGAGATCTCTTTAGCCCAGGAGGATGAGGCTGCCGTGAGCCGTGGTAGCACCACTGCACTCTAGACTAGGTGACAGAGACCATCTCTCTCCCCCCGCAAAAAATAAAAATTTAATTGCTAAAAATTACTTAAAATTGGTCATCAAAATTTTCAAACGATATTAAATGCAGGAACAATTATTCCTCAGCACTGTCTAGAGTGTTTCTGTGATCATTATTCTATCCATTTACAATATTAAATAGAAACTTAAGGCAATGGAGGAGCAAGATTTTTGTTTTACTGGCTCTATCAGTACAAGACACCTCAGGTAATAATGATGTCACAATATTAGCAAGCTCCCCTTTTCTAATAGTAACTGAGATAATTTATTGCCTCTTTAATGCCTGGGCAGGAGGTCTATGATGGTGCAATTTCATGGAAACCGTCCAACAAACATGTTTTTCCACTGCCTGAAGAAATACTCTTTGGCTGCGAGTGGTGGTTCACTCCTATAATCCCAGCACTTTGGGAAGCCAAGGCAGATGGATCACTTGAGGTCAGGGGTTCAAGACCAGCCTGGCCAACATGATGAAACCCCATCTCTACCAAAAATACAAAAATTAGCCAGGTGTGGTGGGGCATGCCTGTAGTCCCAGCTACTTGGGAGGCTGAAGCAGAAGAATCGCTTGAACCCAGGAGGCGGAGGCTGCAGTGAGCCAAGATGGTGCCACTGTACTCCAGCCTGGGTGACAGCGAGACTTTGTCTCAAAAGAACAAACAAACGAAAAACAAAGAAATATTCTCTGAATACTTTCTCAAGCTGACTTATTTGTTGTGCCTATTTATATTTGTAGCAGTTTGCATTTGTGGTCTCAACAATCAAAAAAGTTGATCCTTAAACCATTGATCTAGTAATATGCTAACTGGCTTTTGAAAATAACAAAATTGTGACTATCTAGCTTCAACTCAGTTTTCACTGCATGCATATCAGTATTACTGTTTTCTCTGGGGGAGAATGATACAGTTTTTACAACAGCTCAGGAATGCCACAAATGACAAGTCAGTCAGTTCCAAAGGTTAAGGCCAAAGTTGACTAGCAGTCCATTTGGGATACAAACCAAGGCTGTAGTTTCATTTCAGTGCATCCGATGGTGCAGAACAGAACCAGAACACCTCCACTTAAACTCCCTTAATTAGCTACCAATGGCTATGCTACTGCCAATCACCACCAGGGCACACACTCAGACCTCTGTGCAGGAAGGCCTGTGACCCAGACCTTCAGTAAGGCTCCCAAGGTCCATTTATGTCTCCTGAGAACTTTCCTGAGGCGGCTTTCTGAAAAAAGTATCTACACATCAGTTTATTTTAAACAAATGCTTTGCACGAGTGAGTAGTACTCAACTGTTACACTGATTTGATCTCAGTGGAAATCCCATTTCCGTTACAGAAATGACAAGTCAGCCGGGTGTGGTGGCTCATTCCTGTAATCCTAGCACTTTGGAAGGCCGAGGTGGGTGGATCACGAGGTCAGGAGATCGAGACCATCCTGGCCAACATGGTAAAACCCTGTCTCCACTAAAATACAAAAAATTAGCCGGGTGTGGTGGCGCACGCCTGTAGTCCCAGCTGCTCAGGAGGATGAGGCAGGGGAATCGCTTGAACCCAGGAGGCGGAGGTTGCAGTGAGCTGAGATTGCGCCACTGCACTCCAGCCTGGCGACAGACCAAGGCTCTGTCTCAAAAAAAAAAAAAAAAAAAAAAAGACAAGTCCAAGGCCAGACACAGTAGCTCACGTCTGTAATCCCAGCACTTTGGGAGGCTGAGGCAGGTGGATCACCTGAGGATAGGAGTGCAAGACCAGCCTGGCCAACATGGCAAAACCCAGTCTCTACTAAAAAAATTTAAAAATTAGCCAGGTGTGGTGGCACACGCCTGTAGTCCCAGCTACTCAGGAGGCTGAGGTAAGAGAATCGCTTGAACCCAGGAGACAGAGGTTGTGGTGAGCCGAGATCACACCACTGTACTCCAGCCTGGGTGACAGTGCAAGACCCTGTCTCACAAAGGAAAAAAAAAATCATAGGCAAAAAATGACATTTTAAGTCAGTGCTCAAACACGGGGCCAATTCCTGGAAAATTTTGGAGAAGTAGATTTTAGGTCATATAATCTATTACATACCAGAGGCAGGATCTAAACCTAACTTAAAAACCCATGTTTCCAAATGTACCATAGTTTGGAAGTGCTGTCAGGTCAGAGTGCTCAATAAACTTTTGGCAATACTGAAGACAGCATGATGCGACCATCTTTACAATCTCTGCAGCACCTGATAAATGCCTATTAAGTATTTACTAAATTAATATGGTGCGACCACTTAAAGATTCAGGCCAGACACTAGATTTTCAAGCCTACAGTGTTCAAGAAATAAAACCATCCAAGTGAGGAAGCCATTTCCAACAGGCTGAACCTATAAGGCAAGAAGAGTTCCTGGTAAGACTTAAGACAGAAATCAGGGATTATAAATCTATAGTTTTATTAAGACAAAAACTGACAGTGTAGTATGAAGTTTACATTTAAACAAAGTTTACACAGAAATCTAACACATGCCTAAAAGGATTTTACAATGTAGCTCTAGATGCAAGTCTAGACAATATCAAAAACTGATGGATCTCATGACTCAAGACAGAGCATTTTGGGTATCAGTTACTTCTTAGGATTTCTTAAAAAATTGTGTGTGTGTGTGTGTTTTAAAGTGAACCACTGCCCAATATGGAAGTTTAATCTTCTCCTGAGACCAAGGCTTTTGAAATCACTAAACTCTTAGATCAATTCAGTGAAACTTGTGCTGTCAGTGACTGAAGCCAACAATGGTTTCAGAGTTCAAAGCTCAAAAAAGAGAACGGCTCCAAGAGGTTTCCCCACTAAGAGCACGGGCCCTTGTCTTTCCCTACTGTCTTATCTCCTCTACCACCCTCTTCCTCTTCCCTAACACCTCAGCCAGTGGCTTGGATGAACAAGCTGATATTTATAACTTCGTTACTGGAAAAGAAAGGGTCTTCTAATTTTATTAGCACCTCTGAGACAGAATGATCTGCTTGTACTGTATACTCTCCAATAAAAGACTTTCCTCCCTCCTCATCAATTTCCATCTCCAAAATGGCAACTTTGGTAACTTATGAACTGGCTTAGTCCTTTGTGGGAACAGCAATAAGTTTAGGCAGGGAACACCTTGGCTTATAGGTTTCAGACATTCACAGCTTTTAAACAGTCTCTCACAGTCCTTATTTATGGTGCCAATGACTTTTTTTTTTTTTTTTAAGGTAAAATATTCTGGACATAGAAGCAAATCATTAGTTGTCTGTTCTTTTCCATTGCTTCACCATTTCCCCTATCAGGCCCCAAATGTTAATCAAAGTGATGCTACCCATCTCCCTTTCTCCCCTCCCCATCCCTCCCCCAAATAATACACCAGTAATAGCCAAAGACTACACACATGCTACGCTGTAAAAATGCAGAGTTAACACTATTGGGAAGAAGGCTGTGGGTTGTGGAGATGCTCTTTGAAGATCTACAGTATTTTTTTGCTCTCCCACACACCCAATTCTGCAAGTTTTGTCCTTCATAGAAGGCCCTTTGCTTTTCTCAGCAAAGTGCAGAAAAGGTTGCCTTGAAACACTTATCCCCTTTCCCCTCCACTGGGATGGGTGTGCAAACTATACAGCTTGAAACGGCTTTAAAGCACTTGGGCTGCTGCAGGGCACAGAAACTATACTGGCTCTTCAAAGGACATCTTCTCAAGCCACCTCTATGGTGTCAAGACAAGTAGAACTCCTTCCCTTCCCACTTGAAACCCAGTCAGATGTGACAGGGGCTGGTACTCAGGAGCGTTAATTCTTGTCATCTTTTTTGTCATCATCCTCCGAGGGGTAGGAATGCCACGTCAGCCTTTCCTCATAGAAGGATATGACAACCTGTGGGCACTTGACATTGGCTTCCTTGGCAGGGACCAGGTCAGCCTCATCAGAGTTTTTCCTGCAGAATAAAGCAAAGAGAGACTTTGAGACCAGGTGCTGGTGGTCTATCCTAAGCACTAACCCAGGGGATAGTGCTTTAAAAATAGTAATTTTATAAAACTGGCTAGGGAACAACGAAAATGTGGCCCAAGCAGCATTTACTGGCAATTTTTTGTTAAGTGACATCCTCAGAGTGACATCCTCTCCTGTTGAAAATTCCCTCTTGGGATTCGTGTATGTCAAAAGTAAGGTCAATGGACTTAACCGATCACATCTGAACATCTGGGCAAGGCCCCCAAAAGCATGACTCTCTAGATTCTCTGAAGGAAGAGAGGCTATCTAGATTCTCTGAGGGAAGAGAAGATACCACACTCCTCCAAAAGCCATATCCCAGCTGATAAGAACCCACGGAGAAATCCTGGCTTTGTCATAGGACTTTTTTTTTTTTTTTTTTTTTTTTTTTGAGATGGAGTCTCACTCTGTTGCCCAGGCTGGAGTACAGTGGCGTGATCTCGGCTCACCACAACCTCCGCCTCCTGGGTTCAAGCGATTTTCCTGCCTCAGCCTCCCCTAGTAGCTAGGATTGTAGGTGCACACCACCACGCCCGGCTAATTTTTATATTTTTAGTAGAGATGGGGTTTTGCCATCTTTACGAAAGATATTGGCCAGGCTCATCTTGAACTCCTGACCTCAGGTGATCCACCTGCCTCAGCCTCCCAAAGTGGGATTACAGGCATGAGCCACCACGCCTGGCCTGTAATAGGATTAAATACCACATCTGGCATTGGCCAGAGCAAATGAAGGTGGACACATTTTTGCATAATCGTAATTACACTGACACTTCCAAATGCTATCCTCACACAACTTCCAGGTGCTTTGAAATGATGTTTCAACATTGGGAGGTAGGAAATGAGGGAGCTGTATTTTTCTAAATTTTAAAATGTTTTCAAAATTTGAAAATCATACACATTATAAGGGAATTAGGAGTAAACTCTGAGGCCGGGAGCAGTAGCTCATGCCTATAATCCCAGCACTTTGGGAGGCCAAGGTGGGCAGGCCCAGGAGTTCGAGACCAGCCTGGTCAACATGGCAAAACCCCGTTGCTACTAAAAATACAAAAATTAGCCAGGCATGGTGGCGTGTGCCTGTAATTCCAGCTACTCGGGAGGCTGAGGCACAAGAATAGCTTGAACCTGGGAGGTGGAGGTTGTAGTGAACATAGATCACCCCACTGCACTCCAGCCTGGGTGACACAGCGAGACTCTGTCTCATTTAAAAAAAAAAACAAAAAAACCCCCAAAAACTATTGTCTTCAGGTTACTAGGAATGTCCTAGACAGAAGCAGTAGCATAAGGCAAGCAGGAGACACCTGATGAGATCTCTGACAAAACACCACCCCAAATCTCCAAAACCTCAACAACAGGAAACCAGAGCCACACAGTCCCATGGAGCAGAAGAGTAAGCTGATAATCTATGTTTTTGAACAATGGACCCAAGAGAATGGGAGGGAAATGGGAATCTGAAGCATGCTGCCATTTGCTAACAGCTGAACAACACGCATTGAGTTAAATTCAGTCATTTCACTCCCTAGAAATATTTACTACTTTTGGGCTGGGCGCGGTGGCTCAAGCCTGTAATCCCAGCACTTTGGGAGGCCGAGACGGGTGGATCACGAGGTCAGGAGATCGAGACCATCCTGGATAACACGGTGAAACCCCGTCTCTACTAAGAAATACAAAAAACTAGCCGGGCGAGGTGGCGGGTGCCTGTAGTCCCAGCTACTCGGGAGGCTGAGGCCGGAGAATGGCGTGAACCCGGGAGGCGGAGCTTGCAGTGAGCTGAGATCCGGCCACTGCACTCCAGCCTGGGCTACAGAGCGAGACTCCGTCTCAAAAAAAAAAAAAAAAAAAAAAAAAAATATTTACTACTTTTGGAAATATACAGAAATCTCTATTCTCCAGTAAAATAACTTTTTAAAATGTACTTGGTCTTATAGTCAAATCCAGTTTTAACCTGTAGACAGCAGTGGGTCGGCCAGGTGCAGTGGTTCACCTGAAGTCAGGAGTTTGAGACCAGCCTGGCCAACACGGTGAAACCCCATCTCTACTAATAATACAAAAATCAGCCAGGCGTAGTAGCGCGTGCCTATAATCCCAGCTACTTGAGAGGCTGAGGCAGGAGAATCGTTGAACTCGGGGGGCGGAGGTTGCAGTGAGCTGAGATCGCTCCACTGCACTCCAGCCTGGGCGAAAGAGCGAGACTCTGTTTCAAAAAAAAAAAAAAGATAGTAGTAAGTCAACCAAAGGAGTGCAAATCTTAAGCAATATGGAGATACTACTGTAACTCACACTGGTCACATGCAGAAAAAGTATATTCTAGCTAGACTGAGTAACTCATGGTGTAACTTCTCCCACCCCTTAAGCAGCACCTTAAAAATGAACTTTTCTCCTATAGGTTAACAATAAATTAGCTAAAAGAGGGGCAGCTTCAGTAACCGCCTAAGGAATACATAGGAAGAGAATAAGGTAGGTAGTTGTGACTCTGGCTTTCAGTGGTGCTAAAGTTAGGCCCCTCCAGCCATACTGTAAAATATTAGTACAGACACAAGTTTCAGAGTAAGTTCTGGACTGACAAAAGGACAAAGCTCCACAGACATTGTATGTGTGTGTGTGTATTTTAAAGGACAAAGTTTGTAGAATGCTGCCTTCATTGGCAATGGCTTAGAATTATTCCTTCCTAACTTTAAATACAATGATTGCTATCCACTTTGTGGGGAGAATGAGCAAGAAATAGGAAGAATGGCCTTCTTTTGACAGAGTAGGAAAATTACAGAGATTGCTGGGATAACTATCTTCATTAGGCTGTTTCATGGAGTGTTACTATCACTGGTATTTATATTCATAATGGAAAAAAGCAGGCTTGCTCTATGCTTAATAGCAGTTAAGGAGCCTTGCTGACCCCTGCTGGCTGATCCTGTAATTGTAGAATCTGCACAAATTGAAAAGGATCCAACAATTAAGGACAAACAAAGGGAAGAACTACAAAATCTTTCCTAACCCTGAGAATTTAGCAGTTTCTGATTCTGGGGCCAGCCTCATCTTTATTAAGGAGGTGGTAGAAAGAGAGGGTGGTCCAATCACATTTCATTTTTTCCCCTTTTATTTACCGTAATGAAATGTAATTCCTTCCCACACTCTTTCCACTCTAGATTGTCTCCCACCTCCTAAAAATATGGGCAAAGACCTAAGATTCCTAAGGGCTCCTACCTGTAACTCATGAGTCCAGGTTGGCAGTCAGGCCGAGGGTCACTATCGAAGGACTATGCCATCTTAATTTCACACTTGGGTGATTGGAATTTCGAAGGTCCAGCTCTTTTCCTCTGGCATGAAACCAATGGGAGAAGAAAAAAAACAACCACACAAAGCCACTGGCCGACTCACCATTTCATCAGGAACATGAGCTCTCCACTGGAGTCTGTAGCTCCAATAATCCGCTCCGGCTCCAAACCTCGAGCAAAGCCTCGTGGCTTTTCTGACTGTAAAAACAAGATTGGTAGAACAATTTTATCTATATGGGACTATTATCTAGACTTGGAACTATTCCTGTGTCTCTGATTAATGTAATCATAAACTCTTCTCTTTTTTTTTTTGAGACGGAATCTCTGTTGCCCAGGATGGAGTGCAGTGGTGCGATCTCAGCTCACTGCAGCCTCTGCCTCCTGGGTTCAAGTAATTCTCCTGCCTCAGCCTCCTGAGGAGCTGGGACCACAGGCGCATGCCACCACACCTGGCTAATTTTTTGTATTTTTAGTAGAGACGGGGATTCACCATTTAGTCAGGATGGTCTTAATCTCCTGACCTTGTGATTCGCCCGCCTCAGCCTCCCAAGGGGCTGGGATTATAGGTGTGAGCCACTGTGCCCGGCCCAAACACAAACTTTTTTGCCAATATTTCACCAATACCTTGGCTCAAAGTAAGAGAGGTGTTAGAATTCTTTGGAGTGATTATTCATCAATGTCTGAAGCGCATGAGATTTTCCCATATGTGAAAAGGGACATATAGCCCAAGCAAAATCAATGTTTACACCTATCTCTTCACTCTCAAAAAACAACTTACTTTAAGGTACGTACTGATTAAGTCAAAATAGCTACCTCACACCTTTAATGATTAAACATTGAAAACCGTTTTTTACAAGAATGAATTCACTTGCCCTTTTATCTGTCCCCAGCAAGTATCCCATTTACTGCTCCTGTACCATGGATAAAAAGTAAGAGACTGGCTGGGCGCAGTGGCTCAAGCCTGTAATCCCAGCACTTTGGGAGGCCGAGACGGGCGGATCATGAGGTCAGGAGATCGAGACCATCCTGGCGAACACGGTGAAACCCCGTCTCTACTAAAAAGTACAAAAAAACTAGCTGGGCGAGGTGGCGGGCGCCTGTAGTCCCAGCTACTCGGGAGGCTGAGGCAGGAGAATGGCGTAAACCCAGGAGGTGGAGCTTGCAGTGAGCTGAGATCCGGCCACTGCACTCCAGCCTGGGCGACAGAGCGAGACTCCGTCTCAAACAAACAAACAAACAAAAAAGTAAGAGATCATGTGGCTTCATGAGAGTACACTCTCACTTTGTAGGCATTAGCCTACCTAAGATGTCAGAACTAAGAAGAGATGGCTGCTAATATCTGGGAAGAAGCAAAACAAAACTACTTTGACAGTGGTTTGAATTGTGGGCCAGTAAAAATTCTTACTTCTATCCTTACCTCTTCTTTCTTCTTCTTTGGTTTGCTCTCCTCTCCCTTATCTTCAGAATCAGAATCAGCTTTGCGCTTGCCTCCCTCTGATTTATCTGTCTCATGTGCTGTTTTCTGTGACTGCAGAAACTCAGCAATGAGGTCGGGGCAATCCAGGTTTTCTTCTGGCTCCCATGTGTTGTCCTCACTGAAACCAGAGGGCACAGCAAGTCACACTTTCACTCAAAATAAGTATAATCATACTAAGGATAATCGTAAGAGGACAAGAGCTCAGACGTCCATGGAAAAGCTGAAATTTCTTGGGGAATGGGGAGGCTTTCTAGTATAAATAGAAAGCTAAGAAACTGGCTTCCTTCAAAGGCAAATGACTTTTATTTGTCAATTTAAATCAGTCTATAGCCACACACAATATTTCTCAGAAATCACTATGGGCTGGGTACAGTGGCTCACGCCTGTAGTCCCAACACTTTGGGAGGCCCAGGTGGGAGGACTGCTTGAGGCCAGGAGTTAGACAAACCTGGGCAACTAAGTGAGACATGGTGGTGCATGCCTGTGGTACTAGCTACTTAGAAGGCTGAGGTGGGAGGATACCTTGAGCCTGGGAGGTTGAGGCTGCAGCGAGCTATGACTGCACCACTGTACTCCAGCCTGGGTGACAGAGCGAGACCTTGTCTCAAAAGAAAGAACTTTAAAAAAGAAGTCATTCTGCTCTGTATAACAAGCAGTAGGCCATGTTCCTAATTAAACAATAAGCCATGAAGGTGGGGACTGAGTCACACAGTTTCCATCACAGCACTGGAGGTCTCATACATCTCTAGACTCCTGATAAACACCTGGTGGCTACATTTACTTGTGTCAGTGAAACTTACTCTGAGAACCCCTTCCATTTTAGGAGGTACTCCACTTTGCCCTTTACCACTCGACGGTCGAGAACTTTTTCCACCACATATTCCTCTTCCTCCTCTTCTAGCACCTCCTCCACTTTCTTCTTGTTTTGTTTTTTCCCCATAGTGCCCGCCAGCTTTCTGGTGTAAAGGGTGACGCTGCTAAAATGATAAATGAAATAAAAAGGGAATTAGGGAGCACTCTTATTGGTTAGATAATATCTGGATGGTAAGAAAATCAGAGACATGACAGGTGATAATATTATATGCTGCTTACAATAAGTGTGAGGCCTATTCTCACATTCGATACACAATAGTTTTCTGATATGTGCAGTCAGAAAGCTCATAAAACAGCCCCAATTAATCTTACAGCGAAACTTCTTTTTGAGAGACGGAGTCTTGCTTTGTTGCACAGGCTGGAGTGCAGTGGCACAATCTCGGCTCACCGCAACCTCTGCCTTCTGGGTTCAAGTGATTCTCCTGCCTCAGCTTCCCAAGCAGCTGGAACTGCAGGCATGTGCCACCAAGCCCAGCTAATTTTTGTATTTGTTTTTTTTTAGTAGAGACGGGACTTCACTACATGTTGGCCAGGCTGGTCTCGAACTCCTGACCTCAGGTGATCCGCCTGCTTCGGCCTCCCAAAGTGTTGGAATTACAGGTGTGAGCCACTGCGCCTGGCCTTCACAGCAAACTTCTTTATTCTTGTGTATCCATTTACAACTTTTATACCCATTCTTTGTCATTTAAAAAGGCTCCCAATACTCCTTTTACCATAAAGCATGGTAGCTAGGGCCACGCATGCAGGCTCACATCTGCAATCCCAGCATTTTGGAAGGCCGAAGTGGGAGAATTCCTGGAGCCCAGGAGTGTGTGACCAGCCTAGGCAACATAGCAAGACCCCATCTCCACACACACAAAAAATCTGTAAAAGAGCATGGTAGCTAAAATATTGCATTAAACTCAAAGAAGGCCGGGCGCAGCGGCTCACACCTGTAATTCTAGCACTTTGGGAGGCGGAGGCGGGCAGATGGCCTGAGGTCAGGGGTTCAAGACCAGCCTGGCCAACATGGCAAGACCCTGTCCCTACTAAAAATACAAAAATTAGCCAGTCATGAGCCAGGATCGCATGACTGTACTCCAGCCTGGGCAACAGAGTGAGACTCCTGACCTCGTGATTCGCCTGCCCTGGCCTTCCAAAGTGCTGGGATTAGAGGCGTGAATGACCCTGCCCGGCCCTTTTTTTTTTTTTTTTTCTTTTAAGACGGAGTCTCACGCCAGCCCAGGCTGGAGTGCAATGGCACAATCTCGGCTCACTGCAACCTCCGCCTCCTGGGTTCAAGTGATTCTCCTGCCTCAGCCTCATGAGTAGCTGGGACTACAGGTGTGAGCCACCATGCCCAGCTAATTTTTGTATTTTTAGTAAAGACAGGGTTTCACCACATTGGTCAGGCTGCCAGGCTGGTCTTGAACTCCTGACTTCGTGATTCGCCCATGGTGGCCTCCCAAAGTGCTGGGATTACAGGCATGAGCCACCAAGCCCCGCCCCACCCCACCCCCCTTTTTTTGAGACGGAGTCTCACTCCAGCCAGGCTGGAGTGCAGTGGCACAGTCTTGGCTCACTGCAACCTCCGCCACCCGGGTTCAAGTGATTCTTCTGCCTCAGCCTTCTGAGTAGCTGGGACTACAGGTGTGTGCCACCATGCCCAGCTAGTTTTTGTATTTTTAGTAGAGACAGGGTTTTGCCATGTTGGCCAGGCTGGTCTCAAACTCCTGACTTCAAGTGATCCACCCGTCACAGAATCCCAAAGTGCTGGGATTACAGGCATGAGCCACTGTGCCCAGCTGAGTTCTCTTGTTCTTTATGCACTCTTTTCTGAATTGAACTTACAATTCACAAATTTCTTGTTAACTTACTGTATTTAGTTTATTTAACAACTTTTCTTCTTTTTTGAGACAGTGCCTCTATCACCTAGGTTGGAATGCAGTGAAGTAATTATGGCTCACTGCAGCTTTGACCTCCTGGGCTCAAGTGATCCTCCTACCTCAGTCTCCTGAGTAGCTGGAACCACAGGTGTATGCCACCATGCCTGGCTAACTTTTTAAATTTTCAGTAAAGACAAGCTCTCACTATGTTGCCTAGGCTTGTTTCAAACTTCTAGGCTCAAGTGATCCTCCCGCCTCAGCCTCAAGTACTGGGATTACAGGCATGAATCATCACACCTGGCCTCCAATTTATTTCTAAAAACTAAGGAAGAGTCACAAAAATGCCAGAATGACCATGCAATTCTAAACTGGAACCCTGTAATAATCTGGAAAACAAGTGTAGGGAAAACAGAATTGTAGTTATCAAAGATAATAGAATCTGAGTTTACTCCTTTATAAAATACATCATCAAGCTGGGTAACATCTAAGAGTTTTTCCAGTGTTGAAATTTTAGTCCTTCATCTTATAAATCTTACAAATCTATTTAGTCCTTCATCCAAATTTCACTTTTTTGAGGGAGGGGGACAGAGTCTCCCTCTGTCACCCAGGCTGCAGTGTAATGGTGCTATCTCGGCTCACCTACGCCTCTAGGGTTCAAGCGGTTCTCATGCCTCAGTCTCCTGAGTAGCTGGGACTACAGGTGCCCACCACCAGGCCCGGTTGATTTTTGTATATTTAGTAGAGATGGGGTTTCAGCATGTTGGCCAGGCTGGTCTCCAACTCCTGACCTCAAATGACCTGCCTGCTTCGGTTTCCCAAAATACTGGAATTAACAGGCATGCGCTACTGGACCCAACTCTGACTTCTCACAGACTTAAAGACTTAAAGATTACCAATTTCTGTCAGTAGATGGCGCTATATCAATGAAACAAAATTGATCAACAAAACTGGCCAAAGAATTACTTGGATGGCAGGTAATCCAAGACAAGGAAGAAAGAGTTACTTCTCTGCTTGAGTTTTCTAAATACTGTAAAACTGGCATGTACAGACAGACTGCATGTAGAAAGAGTCCATCTACAAGGCCGGGTGTGGTGGTTCACGCCTGTAATCCCAGCACTTTGGGAGACCAAGGCAGGCAGATCACAAGGTCAGGAGTTCGAGACCAGCCTGGCCAACATGGTGAAACCCCATCTCTACTAAAAACATAAAAATTAGCTGGGTGTGGTGGCGGGCGCCTGTAGTCCCAGCTACTCGGGAGGCTGAAGCATGGGAATTGCTTGAACCTGGGAGGCGGAGGTTGCAGAGAGCCGAGATCGTGCCACTGTACTCTAGCCTGGGCGACAGAGTGAGACTCTGCCAAAAACAGAAAAAGAAAAAGAAAAAGAGTCCATCTACAGACTACGTGAAATATAATAAGCCTTTCACATGTATCAGGATCATTGTTATGAATCAGCTATATCATCTACAGATGCTTTATAGTCTCAGAAATAAAAGTATATTCCCACATCTGCATCTATGAATAATGCTGACTTAACGTTTGGTAACTAGAAAATTCTAGATACTGTGTGGAATACTAGATATTAAGGAGAATAAGAAATGTTCCCTGCCTTCCTGAAGCTTAATGTCTAATAATAAATAATTTAAATACTTCTTCTACCAAAGGTATTCTGAAATCTTGCAGGGTGGCACAGAATTTTTCTGAGGTCCTTTTAGTGTGGCTGAAGACAACACCCACCCCTTGTCCACACAGTTCTGCACTCTGAACACACATCAGTGTTAAGAGCTCATATACCAGTCTGAACAACATGCAGAAACCCCCACCTCTACTAAAAATACAAAAAAATTAGCCATGTGTGGTGGCACATGCCTGTAATCCCAGCTACTTGGGAGGCTGAAGCAGGAGAACTGCTTGAACCCCGGAGGCAGAGGTGGCGGTGAGCTGAGATGGCACCACTGCACTCCAGCCTGGGAAACAAGAGCAAAACTCTGCCTCAAAAAAATAATAATAAAATTAAAAAAGAGCTCATATAGCTATCTTTTCAACACTCCTCCTCTCCATTTATTCACTGCTACAGACTCTGCTTTCCTTCTCTACCCAACCCCTTGTTGTCTTTTAGAGAAAGTTCTAGATAAGTCTTCCTTTCCTTCTGTTACTAAACAGACTAACCAGTGGATTGCATGTAATCTTTGGCTAATTCTTGGCTAGCTTTATTGTGCCTATGATTTAGGGGCATGTGCTTCTTCCTGGAGGGAGACGCTTTCAGGTTTTCAGAATTCTGATTGCCCAATGACAAGTGTTATTTTATGAGAAAAGAAAAATCTAACTTTCCTCTTGGATAAATGCAGTGTTTTCTCCCAAGAACACATGCTACTCTTTGCTTGCTTCCTTTCACTGTCAGTTGAAGGGGTGGCAAGATTCACTATCAGTCTTTGGTTATAGCACAGGGAAAAGTAAACTGACAATCACCTTTAGGTACAAGGCTACCACAACACCTTTTCTCAACAGACAGAAAGGAAGGAGTGAGTCATGGACTGTCTAAAATCAGTAACTGGGCCAGGCGCAGTGGCTCATACCTGTGATCCCAACACTTTGGGAGGCTGAGGTGGGTGGACTGCTTGAGCCCAGGTGTTCAAGACAAGCCTGGGCAACATAGCACGATGCTCTCTCTACAAAAAATTGACAAATTAGGCTGGGCATTGTGACTCACACCTATAATCCCAGCACTTTGGTAGGCTGAGGCGGGCGGATCACCTGAGGTTGGGAGTTCAACACCAGCCTGGCCAACATGGTGAAACTCCATCTCTACTAAAAATACAAAAATTAGCTGGGCTTGGTGGTGCACACCTGTAATCCCAGCCACTCAGGGAGCTGCGGCAGGAGAATTGCTTGAACCCGGGAGATGGAGGTTGCAGTGAGCTGAGATCATGCCACTGCACTCCAGCCTGGGGGACAGAGTAAAACTCTATCTCAAAAAAAAAAAAATTTTTTTACGAATTAGTCAGGTGTGGTGGTGTGTGCTTATAATCCTAGCTACTTGGGAGGCTGAGGTGGGAGGACTGCTTGAGCCTAGGAGTTTGAGGTTATAATGAACTATGATAGTGCTACCAGACTCCAGCCTGGGTGACAGAGCGCAATCCTATCTCCAAACAAAACAAAGCACACCGCCCCCCAGCTAAACGCCCCCCAAATTCTATTATTGTCCTCTAATAGCCGATCTCCCAAGTAATTAAACGCACTC